CCATTAGCGTTTCAAAGGTGGGGAAGGGGATCACAGAGGACAAATGTGGGGTATGGTGGAGTGAGATTAGTTGGTACAGTACACATTTCCAACAGTCATTATATCCATCTTTACATGATACATCAATAGTTCAGACAATTCAAACAGTGTCGGTGAGGCGCTATCTATGCACCTCAGCCCGGAGGTGTCCTCATGTTTACCAGCCTGTCCTGCGCATGTTGTTGTACCTTTGGTCCGTGTGGCACCATGTCAATGAGTTGGACGAGAAGGAGGTGGGGGGGGAGAGGGGGTCCAGGTGCTTGCCCGGAGGGGTGTGGGGGGAGTTAACTTATATATATACACTAGTGGGTTTTTAGTCTCGTCTGTATGTGATGCATTTACCTGGTTCTTTTGGGAGGGGTTTGCTGTATCTGTTTGGTCTCTCAGCACCGGCCTCTTCCCACTTTCCCCCAGGGTATACCCTCTCAGATTGCGTTGGTGAGGCTAAAGGTTCCTACTCATCTCCAGTTGTCTGGGTCTCCACCTTGTTCCAGTATTGTTCCCAGATTTTTTCCTCCATAGTTGCCACTCCCGTCCCCAGTTGTTGGGCCGCCATGCGTTCGTATTCCCAATTCTTTTGGATCTGGGTAACTAGCTCGGTTTTTGTGGGGATGTTCCGTGATTTCCAGTTTTTTGCTATTAGGTTACATGCTGCTATTAGCGTGTGGAATAGGAGTTTGGAGTGGACCTTGGTCAGGCCTTCTGGCCAGATGTATAAGAGGCATGTAGCCGGGTTCAGGGTCAGCATCGTAGGAAGCAGTTGATCCACAATGGTGCTCACCATGGCCCAGTAGGGTTGTATGTCTTTGCACTTCCACCAGATATGTACTAGTGAGCCTGTGTCTAGCTGACATCGCCAGCACTGGGCAGATGTACTCGGGAACATGTGTGCTAGCCGTGTGGGGACCAAATACCACCTGTATTGCAGTTTTCTCACTTGTTCAAAGTGTGTAATGCAAGCTGTGTTGCCTTTGTGGATTGTAAAGGCTCTGGACCATTGGGCCTCCGTGAAGGTGCTGCCCAGGTCTTTGTGCCATGCCTGTATAAAGTTGTCCGTGGATGTGTGAGTGCCCTCAAGCAATGTGTTATAAATTTTTGAAATGGCTTGTCTGTGTGGCTTGCCCGTGAGGCACCATGTGTCAAAGTTGGAGATCATGGGTGTCACAGGTGGAGTCGTGGGTTGCCGTAGGGTGGACTTGAGTTGCAAGTATGAGAAAATTGCTTTACTCGGTAGATTGTACTGTGTTTGTACGTCCGGGAATTGTTTTAGGGATGTACCCTTGTATAAGTCGTGTATGTGTGTACACCCTGCATTCGTCCAGGTCCGGTAATCAAATGTTTTGTTCCTCAGGTATATACTATACATTGTCGATGCTAGCGATGTAGCTCCTGAGCCACTAAAGCGCGTTCTGTATGTGTCCCATGTATGCAGCATCAATTTAGTGGTCTCAAGCATGGTCGGTGTTGTTGGCCTTAGGTGTTTTGGCACCCAAAACAAGTGGTGCATCCCTGCTCTGCACGCCCAGTGGGATTCAATGGCTACCCATTGCGGTGGGTTTGCTGCCCTGTGTGTCGTGGCTAGCGCGGCCATAATGGCCGCCTTATAGTACAGTTTGACGTCTGGGAAGCTCATGCCCCCACTCCCCGTTGGTCTTTTAATTGTAGAGTAAGCCACCCTGGGTGTTTTATTCGCCCACACGAATCTTGTGATGGTTTTTTGTAGTTTGACCATATATTGCCTGGGTATAGGGATCTGCAGCGTGCGGAATAGGTATTGTAATTTTGGCAACAGTGACATTTTAAATGCCGCTATGCGCCCATGCCACGAGTGGAAGTCACTGTTCCATTGGTCTAACGTCTGAGAGATTTCCTGCAGAAGTTTCTCATAATTATATTTAAACATTTGGCCGCTCGTCTTGGCTTGTTTAATCCCCAGAAATGTGATATAGTCTTCCCTCCAGTCAAAGGTGAAGGAATTCGTCAGTGTTTGTAGGGTGTGTCCTGGCAGATGGATTCCTATTGCCTGTGTTTTTGTGAGATTAAGTTTGTAGTAGGATACTTTGTTATAGTCTCGTATGCACTGTAGTAGGTTCGGTAGGGATATTATTGGTTGCGTCAAGGTCAGGAGTATGTCGTCTGCGAATAGATTAAGGGTGTACTCCCTGTCCCCCACTTGAACCCCGTGTATATCAGGGTGGGCTCTGATCACTGCAGCTAGCGGCTCTAGTGCCAGTACATATAGCAGGGGGGACAGGGGGCACCCCTGTCTTGTTCCGTTGGTGATGGTTATCTTTTTTGACACGAAACCTGAATTAAGTACTTGGGCTCTTGGTGCCGAATACAATGCCCTGACCACCGAAATAAACCCCTCCGGCATCCCGTACCTCCTCAGGGCCGCCTGCAGAAATCCCCATCCCAGTCGGTCAAAGGCTTTTTCTGCGTCCAGTGAGAGCAGAACCCCCCCCTTCCCGTTTCGCCCCTAGGCTTTGCATGAGGTCTAGTATTTTCCTGGTGTTGTCTGCCCCTTGACGCCCCGTCACGAATCCCACTTGGTCATCGTGTATGATGTGTGGTAATATCGGGCTTAGCCTCATAGCGAACAGTTTCGCCAGTAGTTTAGTGTCAGTGTTGAGGAGGGATATGGGTCTAAAATTTTGAGGATAGGTTGGAGGTTTGCCAGGCTTGGGCAAAGTGATAATGTGGGCTAGCTGCATTTCCTCCGGTAGGGTTTGTGATCGCACGGCCTCATTGAAGACCTCTGCTAGGCATGGGGCTAGTATATCTCTAAATTTGCTGTAATAAGAGTTGGCAAATCCATCTGGGCCCGGGGCTTTGCCCCTTGGTAGCGACTTTATGGTGTCCCCTACCTCCTCAGGGGTGACTGGTCGGGTGAGTGTTTCTTTCTGTTGGGCTGTCAAAGTCGGGAGTTTGATTTTGTTTAGATATGTCTCTATCTCGGCAGTTGTCGGTGTGGGTATGGTTGCGTCATTGTGGAGGTTGTACAGGTCCCCATAGTATTGTGCAAACTCATCGCTAATAGTGAGCGGCGACATAACTTTCCCCCCTGCTTTTGTGTGTAGGTATGCTATTTTCTGTGACTGTTGTCGCTTTTTTAACCTTGCTGCCAGCAGTTTACTCGCTCTATTCCCCTGGGCGTAGTGTAAGGCTTTCAATTTCCGTAAATTGTGTTCTACCTTAGTTAACGCATGTTGGCGAAGTTGATGGCGCACTAGGGCTATTTGTTCTTTTAGTTGTTTTGTGGGGTGAAGTTGATTTTGCATCGTCAGTGTGTAAATGTCTTTTTGCCACTTCGTCACTTGTGCCTGCGTCTTCCTTTTAATGTATGATGCTTGTTTTATAAGGAGTCCACGGGCAACTGCCTTATGTGCTTGCCATATTGTGTGGTGTTGTAGGTCGGGGTTGGCGTTGTCTGCAAAGTAGGTTTGTAGGGACTCTGCTAGCGTATCCGAGAAAGATTTGTCTATCAGGAGGGTCTCGTTAAGCTGCCAGGGGCTCCTATGTTTGAAGTCATAAGTGTCCCTTAAGATTAGTTCCATAGGGGCATGGTCAGACCACACTATCTGTCCCACCCGACAGTCCACTACCTGCCCTAGTGTTGTTCCCTCCACCAGAATCGCATCGATTCTCGAGTATGTATTATGAACCTGCGAGTGGTGGGTATACTCCTTGTCTTCTGTATGTGTGACTCTCCATGCATCATAGTAGTGATGCAGTGACAGTAATTTAGACAAAGCCGCGCTTTGGCGCTTAAGTGGTTTATATCGCGGGCTGGTCCGGGAAAGAGTAGTGTCTACAGTTGGGTTTAGGACATGGTTTAGATCCCCACATATAATTGTGATGCCTTGTTGGATGTGAGAGATTTTGTGCACCATTTTGTGTATGAAATTCCTCTGGTTGGTGTTTGGGGCATATATATTCGCTATGGTGTATAGTACATTATTTATGTGTCCCACTATGATAACGTATCTGCCTTCTGGGTCAGTGTCCTCGGTGATCAGAGTGAAAGCAACCTTTTTACTGAGCAGGGTGGTGACTCCCTTGGATTTGGTCGTGGATGTAGAGTGGAACTGGTGAGGGTAGGAGTTGGTCAGAATGCTGGGATGGGTCGTGCCCCTGAAGTGTGTTTCCTGTAAACACACAATGTCCGCATCAGTTTTACCTACATCTCTACTGAGAAGGTGTCTTTGGACCGGGAGATTGAGTCCCCTTACATTGTGGCTGTAAAACTTAAGGTGGCATGTAAGGGAAGGTATTGTGAGAATCTAGTATGTATTGGTCTATGAAGGGGCTCTGCTCTCCCCAGCTTCGGCGAGCTGGGCAGATCCCACTTAGATAATCCCTGCGGGTAGTCGGTAGGTATGTCTGTTCGGTACTTTGCCTCCGGTGGAAGTGCATTGTTATGCCGTCTTCCAGTTAACTGACAATCTTTAGTGAGCCATTTCTCTACATTATTAGGTGTAGTTGGTCTTCGGGGCTTGGTGAGACATTTTATTGGAGGTGTAGTATTATTGTATTGTTATAATTAAAAAATTATTATTTTTTTTTTATTTATATATATATTTTTTGTTAATTTAGCAACAATACCGTTGGGAGAGGCTATCCCTAACTCTGGGCGGATTTAGCTTAGGTCTGCACATGACCTTTAAGTATCGGGTTATAACTTTGTCGGGCTATCTGTCCTCATTTGCTCTCTGTTTATCATACCCCTAGTCTGGCTTAAATAGTCTAACAGTTATTTACACCAAAATCAAACATTATACATAACATGGCTATTCTGCATTGCGTGATACAGCATACTGTATACTTGCGGGCGGCTTGAAAAGTTCGTATTTGCTCCCCGTCCAGGGCTATTTTCGCGCCCGCTTCCATGTGGAGGTGTGTCGCTCGTGCGATGCGGGTTTCTGCGGTTCTGGGCGCGGGGTGATGCCCCATTCCCACAGCTTCAGGAGACCTTCCTCTGGGGATGTGATGGCTGTAAGAGTGCCGTTGCGTTGGACCAGCAACTTGGTCGGGTATCCCCACCTGTATGCGATGTTGCTGTCTCTCAGAGCCGCGGTGATAGCGCCAAAAGTCTTTCTCTTCCTCAGCGTCATAGCAGAGATGTCCGCGAAGATTCCCACCTTTTGAAATTCTGTAGGTATGTCCTTTCGTGTGCGGCTCGCTCTCAGGACCGCCTCCTTTGCATGGTAGTAATGCATCTTCAAGACGATATCTCTTGGCGTATCAGCAGGTAGGTATTGGGGCTTTGCCACTCTGTGAATGCGATCCATCAACAGGACATTTTGTGGCAGGTCAGGGACAAGCGTGTGGAAAGGCCTCGTTATGCGTTCCCTGGGCTCCGTCTGTTTCGGCGCCATCTTGGAGGTCTTCCTGTATTGCTGCTCCCCGCGTGTGCCCTTGTTTGGCGTTGAAGAACAGGAGCTTGTCCTGTTTCTCGGACGCCCGCTTAGCCTTGGCGTGGGACATGATCGGGATCGCCGGGGTGCCCGTTGATTTTGTCAGGTTTGGGTCTAAATCGTCGTGTGGGGCCTATACTGCCGCGGAGCTGTCAGAGCATGCGACCGCTCGCGTTCCCGTCCAGGCCACGCCCCCCATATTGATCATATTGACACCTAGATTGGCAATTTTGAAATGCACTTTTAATTCATCTTGAATTCTCACTTTAGTAAATAAGATTAGCAGGGTTCATTTTTACCAACAAGCAAGGAAACAAGCCCTATTTATTCCTTTTTTTTTTATTGTGTTTATTCAAGACTGGACAATAAATAATTTGCTGATGCTTGAAAACAAGAAGAAAAAAGAGGATAAAAAAAATTTGCTTACAACACCTTTGTTCACTTTTGTTATTGTAACAAGGAAGGTCACATTATATTACAGGACATTCCATAATAGCTGACAAAAAAACATTTTCTTTCACACTACTAATTTTTACTTGCTCAAGGACCTTTAGAATAAAACCATTGAACAAAAAAGTCTCCAATACTCCTTCTCTCCCCTGTGTCCATATAAATAGTGTTGTTTGGACACTGGCTGAAAGTGTAGGTGAGAAAATCTAGCTCAGCATTATGAATGCCGGGAGCTCTGATAGGATCAAGGAGTGCAGTGTTTATTTTTAGTCAGATGTTGCAACAACAAAAATTGGAACAGATACATTATGAGAGATATATTATAGATTAGATCGTTTAGTAACTGGACAATGTGTCATAATTATTCTTACCCAATAGTTAGCAGTGGCTTGGGTGTCGTTCCTGAATTCCATGGGTTATTAAACACCTTGGGCACAGACGTTAGATGGCCAAAAGTATGTGGACAACAATACTAATTATTGTGTTCAGGAGTTTTAGCCTCCCCGATTGTTAACAGGGGCATAAAATCCAGCATATAGCTATATATTCTCTATATTATTATTGCCATTTATATAGTGCCAACAGATTCCATGGCGCTTTACAATATGATGGGAGGGGGGATTGAACTATAAATAGGACAATTATAAGAAAATGTACAGGAACTATAGGTTGAAGAGTACTTTCAGTCTATAGGAGGTGGGGTATAAAACACATTAGGACAGGAAATAGAAATCAAATAAGGTGGGAGTGAAGTCGAGCTGGAGGAGAGAGTAAAGTGTTGCCCTTTAGGAGATAGCAAGAGACAGGTATGTGAGGTAGAGGTCATAAGCTTTCTTAAATAGATGGGTTTTAAGGCACTTCTTAAATGATTGAAGACTATGGAAAAGTCTGATGGTGGTAGGCAGGCTATTCAATAGGAAGGGAGCTGCCCGTGAGTAGTCATGCAAGTGTGAGTTGGCCATACGGGTGCGAGCAGCGGACAGGAGAAGGTCATGGGCAGAGTGGAGAGAACGAGGAGGGGCATAACTATGGATCTGTGAAGAGATATAATAGGGGCTAGAATTGTTCTGTACTTTTTTAGGTATGGGTTATCACTTTGAATTGACTCCTATAGGATACAGGAAGCCAATGTAAGGACTGACAGAGGGGTGAGGTGTGAGAGGACTGACTAGAGAGGAAAATCATTCTAGCTGCAGCATTCAATACAGACTGTGGTGGGGCAATACGGCTTTTGGGAAGACCAATTAGGAGAGGGTTTCAATAATCCATGCAGGAAATTACTAGAGCATGGACAAGCTCCTTGGTAGCATAAGAAAAGGGCGGATGCGGAATCTACAGGATTGGGCAACATACTGGATGTGAGGCTCAAAGGTGAGGCCAGAATCAAGTATGACGCCAAGACAGCGCACTTGCAAGGATGGACTTTTGCGGCTACCACTAACTTGAAGGGAGAGTGAAAGAGGAGGATAAGTATCAGGTGGAGGAAAGACAAGGAGCTCAGTTTTAGAGAGATTGAGTTTCAGAAAGTGTGAAAACATCTAGTCAGAGATGGAAAAAAGGCAAGCAGTGAAACGTTGCAGGATGGCAGGGGAGAGGTCCGTGGAGGAGAGTTATATCTGGGTTTCATCAACATAAAGGTGGTAGTGGAATCCAAATGAGGTAATAAGTTTGCCAAGAGAGGCAGTATAAAGAGAAAATAGAAGGGGACCAAGGACAGAGCCTTGGGGGACTCCAACTGAGACAGGACGAGGGGAGGAGGTATCATTAGAAAAGGAGACATTGAATGAGCGTTGGGAGAGATAAGAGGAAAACCACAAGAGGACAGAGTCACAGAGGCCGAGTGATTGAAGAGTTTTGAAGAAGGAGAGCATGATTAACGGTGTCAAAGGCAGGAGAGGTCATGAATAATTAGTATGGAGTTGTGGTCTTTGGATTTTGCTGCGATTAGGTCATTAGTAACTTTGATAAGAGCAGTCTCAGTAGAGTGGGAAGGGCGGAAGCCAGATTGAAGAGGGTCAAGGAGAGAGTTGGAATTGAGGAAGTCAGACATATGGGTAATGACAAGTCTTTCCAGAAGCTTTGAGGAAAAAGTGAGCAGTGATATGGGACTATAGTTAGAGTGGGAAGACGGGTCAAGAGATGTTTTTTTTAGGATAGGTACTACGGGGCATGTTTAAGGTCAGCAGGGACAACACCAGAAGAGAGAGAGCAGTTGAAGATGTGTGTTAAGGAAGGCACAAGACAGGGGGAGAGAGATCTGATAAGGTGAGATGGGACAGGATCGAGCAGGCAAGTGGTGGGGCAAGAGGAAAGGAGAGGTGCAGCCACTTCTTGTTCAGTAGCCAGGGAGAAAGTCTAAAGGGTAGGAAAGGCATGATCTACGTGTGGTTGAGAAAGAGAATGGCAAGGTGGGGAGAATTCTTTCCTTAGCTGTTCAAACTTGTCGGTAAAGTAGTATGCAAAGTTATCGACTATTAGGTTAGTTTAGGGAGTGGCCACAGCAGGGCGAAGAAGATAGTTAAAGGTGTCAAAGAGACGCCAGGTATTGCAGGAGCATGAACTAAGAGAGAGTAAAGTTTGGCGAGGGCAAGAGCTTCGCTCTATTAACACAATATGAACCTATAATGGAGATAGTCTGCCTGGGTGCTAGACTTCCTCCAGGAGCGTTCAGCACAATGGGAGCATCTTTGCAGGTAGTATGCCACGGTTGGGGGCGTGTGCTTCTCGAGGTGCATGTTTGGAGTGGGGGTGCAGCGTTCAAGGCAGAGGTGAGGGTAGTGTTATATGTGGAGATGGCCAGTGAGGGACAGGAGAGGGAAGGGATGGATAGCAGTTGTGAATCAATATCAGCTGACAGCTATAAAGGATCGTACTAAAGAGCTCAGTGGCTGTAAAAGAATGCCACCTTTGCCACAATTAATTCATTCAATTTTTGCCCTACTAGATCCACCCAAGACAACTGTAAGTGTATTATTCTAAAGTGGAAACATCTAGGAGCAACAGCCCAGCCATGAACAGGTAAATGCAGGGCTGCAGTGTGTGTGTATGTGAGGGGTGAAGTATGGGTGAACGGTGCAATGTGTGTATGAAGGCAGGGCCGGCACTTTCTTAAGGCGGCATAGGCGGCCGCCTTAGGGCGCACCAAATGCGCAAATGTCCGGGTGAACATCACACCGAGCACCAGTATCTCCGTGCAGCCCAGCGCCTGACTATGTGCATGCTACAGGCTATGTGGAGGGTTCAGGGATATAGATTACATCATATCCCTGCTCCCTGTATAGCACACAATGTGGCTGGCATCCAGTGATGGGGCTAAGCTGAGGGATGGGACTCCACAGATCAGAGCCAGACAGCATGCTTCCCAGGGACCTGAGATGTAAGCATGTAATTGTGACTGTATGTATGTCTCTGTATGACTGTATATCTGTGTATGCATGCCTGTTTGTATGTCTCTGTATGACTGCATGTCTGTGTTTGTATGCCTATGTCTGTGTTTCTGTATGACTGTATTCGTATGTCTCTGTATGCCTAGTTCTATATGTTACGGTATGCCTGCGTCTGTATGTCTCTGTATGGCTGCATCTGCATGGCAGTCTATGTGATGTCTCTGTATGACTGTATTTCTATGTTTGTATGACGGTGTACCTGTATGTGTAGATTTTATAAATGTGTGCCTCTATGGCATGTATTGTCTGAGTTAGATTTTGTCCCTTTTATGGCTGTGTTTCTGTATATCTTTGTGACTTTGTGCCTTAATAATTATGTATGTGTGCCGGTATGCTTGTGTGTCTGTATGTTTATGTCTTTGTGCGTTTGTGGTTTCTTTTGCCTGTATATCTATGCCTGTATGGCTTGGGAGTCAGAAATCACGAGAAAGAGACACAGAAAGGAGCTGGGGGGCAGAACGCAACACAGAAGGGGGCTGCAGGAAAAGTAAGTGACACGCAAGGAGGATAAAATACACTAAAGGGGGTGTAAGACACACAAAGGGGCAAACAGGGGTAAGACATTCAAAAGAGGGGATATGAAACACTAAAGGGGTAAGAAATTTAAAAAGGGGGTTATGAGACACACAGGTAAAGACGTATTGTTTGGCAAAAAATCCTTGCATAAGCCCTGTGTGAGGGGTGCAGTGTGTGACTGCGTTGGATGGTATAGGGCCCATATATTGTGTTTGGGGGAGTTGGAATGGAAGCAAATATGCATTTTTTTTGTTTTATTATTATTTGAAAAGCAAAACAAAAAAACCCTCTGAACTGCCTAGCTTGCCGGATGAATACTGAGCCTCTTGGTACTCTTTTCCCCTCGCCCTCCTGCAGGGAAGTGTCTGTGGGCCAGTGAGGGAGTACTTTAATCCCTTAGTGACCAGACCGGTTTTCAATTTTCTTACCGTTAAGGACCAGGGCTGTTTTTACATTTCTGCGGTGTTTGTGTTTAGCTGTAATATTCCTCTTACTCATTTACTGTATTC